CGCCAAAAATGATGGCTAGGCCTTCCTTCTCTATTTGACTGTAATTCTTCTCAGATGATTTTAAGGACCTTGAGGCATAGGCGATTGGTCTCTCGTCTCCGTTGGGGAAACGGTGAAGCATGACAGCCCCTATACCATATTGGCTTGCGTCACTTTCAAGAATCACTGGGAGTCTAGGATTGTAATGCACCAGCACATGGGAGGAAGAGAGAGACTCTTTAGCATTGTTAAAGGCCTCCTCGCACTGGGGGACCACAGGAACTCTTGATCTTTCTGAACGAGCTGATTGAGCGGCTGAAGAATTGAGCTCAGATTGCGGATGAACTTCCCGTGGTAGTTTATCATTCTAAGGAAGGCTCTTAATTGGGTGCAGTTTTCAGGGCGTGGTGCTTTCTTTATGGCTTCAACTTTATCCTCCGTTGGGGAAATTCCTTCAGCTGAAATGACGCAGCCCATATAGGTTACTGACCTCTGCATGAACTTGCACTTGTTGAGCTGGAGTCGCATGCCGTAACTGTCTAAGCGACTGAGAACAGTGTTCAGATTCTGAGTATGCTGTTCATCATCCTTGCCCGTGATCAAAATGTCATCTTGAATGGCTACGACATGCTCCAGACCTTGAAGAATGATGTCCATGGTCCGCTGAAAAATTGCTGGGGATGAGGAAATACCAAACGGTAGCCTTTTGTACCGATATAGACCGCGATGCGTGTTGATGGTAACAAGCTGCTGACGGTCAAGATCCAATGGGAGTTGCTGATAAGCATTCTTTAAATCAAGCTTGGTGAATCATTTTCCGCCTCGCAACTTGACAAATACATCCTCAGGCAGGGGAATTGGATACTGAGGGGCATTTAAACTTTTTATTGGTGATTTCAACATCAACTGGTTAAATGAAAAAGAAAAACTTCCTCTTTTTAATATGTTTATTAGAGATCATTGTTTCAGGCAAATAGTAACAAGTTATACCACAGATAACAGAACCACCATTAAGACCATATTTATACCGAGTCAGATATCAATTTACATATATTAGAGATATATTTTTGAGATCATAAAGCTATCACTCAGCAGTGAAAATAGTGTGGCTAAAGCAATCAATTTCTTGTCATTTAGTGAAATGATAAATAACCTAGTTTCATTAAATACGTAATGTATGCTCATCATAATAATTGCATGTATCTGTTGTCTCTGTCCTTTTTTTTTTTCTTTTTCTCTTTTATAATCTACAACAGACTGACAATGGAAGAGGATCACTGCAAAGGTATGTGTAGTCTTCATCTGGTTTATTGTGTGCTTCTAATTCACCAGTCTTAACGGCCTTTACTGCCCAATAGTAACCAACATATAACTTCTTCTTAACATATCAGTACATTGGCCACCATGAAGGTTATGAGATGTTATTATCTGATCTGATGAACACAGTTGTCTTCATTTAACATAAAAAACTCCACAGTGATATAGTAACAAATGTATTGAGATCAATTAGAAGAATGTAGATTTTAGCTCAGGCACTAAACGGTTAAAACAACAAGTATCTGTAAAAGCCTTCTGTGCAACACTTAAAGGATAGCAATTGTTGTAGACAAGCATTGCTTATGAATGGTTACTCATAGTAACAATTCTTTTTAGTTTTACTTCTGATTGCTCAAGAAAGTCTCCTTACTTTTCACAATCATTTGACAACCATTCTCATTCTGTAAAGTCACTATGGTTCCTCTTAACCCCTTAGAGTGAATAACATTTATTTCATCTGATGC